ATAAACGAAAATATGTTTCTCTGTGAACAAAGAAACGACAATTTACGTTTATTATTCACGCTATTTAAATTTTATTTAATATATATTATTTATTATAAATATCCGTATAAATTCTCATGCTAACTTCCTCTTCTACGTTCTATTTCTTATTGTCTATTTCTCTTCCAAATCTTTACGGCTCGATTTGTAGGTAACAAAACGAATTTGTAAATAACAAAGGACAATGGAAGGGCGCATCATGATACGCGCGGCAAATCTACCTGAAGAAAGTATACTTTCTTTACACACACACACACACACACACACACACACACATATATATATATATGTGTTACGAGAAATATTTTTGTAAAATTCATTCTAAATATGACATTTGCAAAAAATTAAGATAATCAAGGTTGAATATATTTTATCAATTTTTTTTTCTTTTCTTCTTTTCTTTCGAAATGAAAAATTTCACAGATCGATAATATTCATAGATCATAAACGAGATAATGACGAAAACGTACGAAGAAATCTTTAGAAAAATATATCTTATACATATAAACGACAGATAAATAGATAGATAATTTTTGCGTTCGAATGATTTTCCTCTCTCTCTCTCTCTCTCTCTCTCTCTCTCTCTCTCCCTCAACTTTCTATTCTATTCCCGTCCCTCCCACCGCCTCTTCTCTTCCTCAATCTGAAACCCCATCCCAAATGGAGAATTTAAAGATTTGTCGCTGAGTTATGGCGATTCTTCTTTTAAAATGTCCAAAGACGTCTTCTTACTCGAAGAAACTTTTCAAGAACATGTCCCGCGTGTTAGAATATTGCGGTCACTTGTCGTTCCATTCAAGTTTCAACCACAAACGCATTGTTCGCGGTTTTGAACTTCCAAAATTGAAAAGCCGATGTGAAGATTTTCAAGCACCAACAGTTACGATCATACTTGTCATAGTATTTCTCGTGAATCGAGAATGTAACTATTCCGCGTAGCTTCCTAATTTATTAGATTCTATTATGTATTATTGTCGACCTCTTTAAGCGACCACACACCGTGCCAAACTATACCTTTATGAACTCTCTTCTATGCATTCACTCTACGCTATTCTTCTTCTTTTATCCAGCCTCTCTCCCTACCTCCCTATCTCCCTCCCTCCCACTATTTCTTCCTTTCATTCATTCGATTTTCTAATAATCTTGAAGAAGACGACGAGTCTTTTTCCGAATAAAATTCTTTTTTTATATTTCTTCTTTTTTTCTCTCTCTTTCTTCCTCTTCATCTTTCTTTTTTCTTTTTTCTTTCTTTTTTCTTTTTTATCACAAAGAGCACGTGTTCAACGAAAATTTGAAAAATGTATGAACAAATGAATAAAAGGTACAAAATTTATAATTATTTTCGAATGAAAAAATTTATATGGATTTATCTTAATCGACAAAAGAATTACTTTCTTTTTTAGATATTTAAAAAGAAATAAGAAAAAGTATTTTTGTATTTAGAAAATCAAAATTGTTTTTAATTTGAAAATCGTGTAAGGGTTTATAATATCTATAAATGTGGGAAAATGTTAGACGGTAATTACGATGTTGATTTTAAGTACAATAATACGGAAACCTCAAGAGAGAGAGAGAGAGAGAGAGAGAAAGAGAAAGAGATCTTGCGATCATCAATCATTATAAATTGTCATCTTAACGTAGTCGTTATTTACCAAAGAACTATTGATAAGTTAGGACGTTGAAATACCTTCGTGAAGAAATACCTGTAAAAGCGGTAAATGTAAAGGAAAAAAATGTTTCACCCTAACAAAACGATTCGTTCTGGATAATAGAAATTTTCTTACCATGAATGAACGAAAATATGTATGATATATGTAAAATGTGCTGACTCGTGTACTTTTATAAGAATATTCACGCCTGTTCCTATCTCATATTGGTATTGGTGTGCCTGGTGAAATAACTTTTGAACTATGTTACTCGTTCACCATTAATTCATTCATACCAAAAATTGTATTCTTCCTTTTTTTTTTTTTTTTTTTTTTTTTTTACTACGTTTCATCGTTCCATCAATGATTCAATAAACAATTTGTGAAAGTTTTAAGAAATTATTTTTTATTGATTTTCTTTGAATATCAGATTATATTATTACATTAAGTTTTTGAAATTAATATATCATATTTACAGAGAGAAAAAGAGAGGGAAGGGGAGAGAGAGAGAGAGAGAGAGAGAGAGAGAGAGAGAAATATTTCATATTTGATTCAGATAAAAAATTAAAATTAAAATTTAGATTGAAATTCAGATTGAAATTCGTAGATAGATTAAATTCATATTTGATTTCATATAGATTTTGAATCGAGATAAGATATATGATTATATTATAGGATAAATTTTTTCATCGATATAATACAAATTAAAAATTAAATCAATTAAAAATATGTAAATATATAAAACTAATATTGACGTAGATCGTGGCGTATTCATCTTGAAAATGTTTTACTTTTTACTTTTCTTTTTTTTGCTTTTCTTTTTCTTCTTCTTTGCTTTACCCTTTGATGATAGTTTTGCTTTTATGATAGAAGGGATGGGTGGCGTAGGTGGTCTTGGTGTTCTAAGTTCCAATTCGATATTTCTTTTAAATTTCTCCATCTTATCCGGTTTCTTTTTGATTTTCAACAAACAAACATTTTCATTGCCATCTGTAATTTGATCGGTATGTACTTCCTGCGATCCAGGAGTACCGTATGAAGGATAAAATGTGAAAGTTCGACATTCGTCGTTAATATTTTTATCGCCTTTGCACGAACCAATCTGTATGAATATTATGAAATATACGGTAAATGCGATTTAATTTCATCATTAATTGTTTCAATAATTATCAATAATTTTTTTATACGTATTCAATTTTTATACATATAAAAAAGAAAACTTGTACGATAGGATCATTAAAAATGATAATATTATTTAGTGTCTTAATTTTCTCAGGTTATTACAGACAATTAGTTTACGTATACATAACAATTATAATAAATCTCAATAATTTGTGATAATTTTTTAAACATATATTTACATTTATGATGAAAATGATAATATTATTTAATATTTCAATTTTTTTTTGTTTTTTTTTTTTTTTAGGTTATTGACATATAATCCAATTACTATGTATATACATACTAACAATGATATATAACAAACCTCGTAAGAAATAGCTTGAGAATTATTTGTTGGGTCTTCTTTATTTATATTACTTTTCGATTGTACACGAAACAAAACTCGATTATTATTGCTAGCATTCAAAACTTTAGGTCCTGATTTACTTGTCGGCCTTTGTATTTCGATAACGTCGCAATCGCACGGTGGATCCCATTGATCTAATCTTTTTTTGGATTTCGATTTATCTTTTTCCATACGTATGATCAATTGATTACCTATCATTTCCGCACCAATTTGTTCGTAATACTTTGAACAAGGATCCTTGATTTTTGTTGTCGATAAACAAGGTGGTGGACATGATGGAACGAGTATTGGTGGACAACAGCAAGGATCTTATACATAAGTATAATGTTATTTAATAATAATAATTTTAATCGAACAATAATTTTTTGTTTTTTTTTTCATTAATCATATCATACATTAAGATCTTACCTGGTTTACAAATTGTTTGCATTTTTCTATTATAACTTGTAAAATTTTGATATAATAAATCAATATCTAATAATTATTTTTAACAATGATAGCCATTTTAGAGGTTAAAAATTATTTTACAATCGATTTATTATACATATATATATATACATATATATCACTATCTTCTCACTTTCTAAATTTAGTAAACATATTCACACCGTGAAAACTTTTCAAACATCCCCTTTTTTCGGCTATGAATTCGATTATTTGGAATAATATATAAAAAGAAAAAAAAAATTTTAGCAAAATGTACCATCATGTAAATTAATAATATACATATATATATATATACAGAAACAAATTCACTATGGTTCGGTTTTCAAATTTAAAAAAGACAACATGATCGCCGCTACTTACGATTGTGGTTGTATGCCACCTAAAATCACTCATCTACATCCAAATTGCTCTAAATCATTTTTACCAAAACAAACCCAACTAACTCAACAGAGCCAACTATCAAAATACACTGTGGTACGATGTCAAACTGCTCCACCTCCTTCTTGCCCAAATACCTCCTGTTGCAAATTAAGGTATATGTGCGTGTGCATGTGAAAGTTTTCTGATCTTGTAGATAATTATATTTTGTTATGCTAACAAAAATATTTCTTTGTGTGTAATATAATTTTAATATAATAATATATAAATAACATATCCACATAGCCATCATTCGCCAACTTGTCGAAGTGTAATATCTTCTTGTCAAAATTTCGACAAAATATATGATTGCACGTGTTCTTCTGAACCACCGATACTTTCTGACGATATAAAAGATTGTAACTGTGAATCGAAAGATATTAAAGAGGAAGAGTGTAATCCTACGAAGGAAAAAACTGAAATAATTTCAAAGATAGCTAAGAAAGGACTTCCTTATAAGGAAATCGAAGCGATAATTAATAACAATCGTATGATTATTAGAATGCAAAAGGAATTAATTGAAGACGAATACGAACCACCTTGCGATTGTCCAGATGGACCTGGAAGGATTTTACCAACGTCTTCCACCGTATTAGATACTTCGTTATCACCGAAATATCGAAATGATATTATTTATCAAATGCAGGATTTATGTAAACAGGGATACAAGTGTACTGGACAAAATTCGATGATTAGACAGAGCTGCGATCAGGATGGTAAGATTTATTCTTCGAGTTAATTCGATTAGAAAAGATTTATAAGAGAGATCATATATGTATATATATATATATATATATTTTTTTTTTCTTTCTACATTCAAAATTTATATATATGTATATAAAGGTAAAGGAGGACGTACCATAATGTTGTATCCCCATCCTGGGATAAAAGAGAAATTACCAGATATTTCTCAGGAAGAAAAGGATAAGGATAGAAGAGAGAAAAAGGAGAAAATGAAAATATCCAAGCAAATTGATTTAGAAGAAAATCCAAATATATTTGTTCTTAGAATTCGAAAACAATCCAAAGATAATGACGGCAAACACAAATTTGATCTCGAATTTCGAACTCCGAGACCATGGTTGACGCGAAAAGAATCAATAAAATGTCCCCATTTACAATCAAAAATTCATCCCGAACAAACAGATAAAACTACGATGGTTAAAGGGAAAAAGGATACTAAAGAGGAAAAAAAGAAGAAAAAGAAGGAGAAAAAGAAAAAGAAATGAGATTTCATTTGAAATCATCCTTTCTATGAAAAACTTTTCGAAAATCTTTTTACGCTAACTTTTTCCCTTTTGTTTCGTTTCTTTTTCTTTTTTTTTCTTTTTTCTTATTCTTTTTCTACGATAACTACACAACAGCTGTTTCCTTTTGATCGTTCAATGAAGCGGATGATCCGCTCCAATTTTCTTCCCACAAGATCATTTTTCTTTTGCTTGGGCGCTACACCGTTACTAATTCCAAATCTAATCTCGGAAAATCAAATTTCCGGATCATGCAAGAATTCCGATTACGCGTCTCCACCTTTTATTATTAACCTTTTCGATTTGTCCCGGACACCAGATACATTTTGTTCGAAATCGAAAAGAATCATGGTTCTACAGGTGTAAGAACCGTCTTTTTTTTTTTCTCTTTTTTTTTTTTTTTTTTTTTTTTTTAACTACAAACTATTGTACACATTTTACTTGGAAGTAAATGAATTTATGAAAAAGAAAAACAAAATGTGTATATAAGTATATTCTCTTTCATTCGTTATATTAATTTTCATCCTTTCATAATTCGCAATCTTTATTATTTTTTAATATTACGATAGGAAACAAGAAAATTGATCGATGCTCTCGAATTGAATATTCTATAATAAAGGATTTTTCATATGTATCCATGTATGTGTATATATTGAAAAAAATATCACATTCACGAAAAGATATTCTCACGATTGAATATCAGAAGTCAGGTGCTTCCTTGAATGGACTTCTTCGATTCCATTCATTCTTCTCGTTGACTAGAATAGCCACCCGCCCACTAAAGAACCCAATTTTTTGGGAGCACTGAATTCGGAGGATGAAAAAAAAAAAATGAAATAGAAGGAAAAAAAAGAAGAAGAAGAAGGAGGAGGGGGGGAAGAGGGAAGAAAAGTTATAAGAAAAACGATTTCTTAAGGTAGCAAAAAAGAGGAGATCAACTTGTTGTCAAAGAGAATTACGATTGTCGTAGATGGGGCTTGACACTCTCGACTCTCTCTACCTCTCTCTACCTCCCTCTCTCTCTCTCTCTCTCTCTCTCTCTCTCTCTCTCTCTCTCTCTCTCTCTCTCTCTCTCTCTCTCTTTCTACCTTCTCCTCTTTCTTTCTTCATTTTCAGTTTGACTGGTCATAACTTTTAAACCTTTAGAAAAATGTAATTTTTCAAAGTCGCATTCTTATCAGAAATATAGAATAATATTAAAAAATTTGAAGAATTTTTACAATCATCTTTTATTTTCTATTTTAAAAATCGTTCCTTTTATGGTGAAAAATTATAATACAAAGGATTAAGGGTAGAAAGTGAAAAAATAATAAGGGATGATGAAAGGTCAAAAATGAATTTTTCTAATAACGTAAGAATTTTCTTTTTAAATATAACTAATTAAGGAATTGTCCAACAAGATAATAATATTTATTACGACTTGTTAATTACTTACTTCCTTATATACTTACTTAACCATTATTTCTCTCTAATGTTACATTTTTAAATGACACCTAATCATTGCCGTTTCTCCAAGGCGTAGCTAATTGTCCATGTCGTATGTCCTCCATAAAAATATTTATTTATTTTTATTTTTTTTCTATTTTTTTTTTTTTTTTTTTTTTTTTTTTTTAAGGAAATAGATAAAAACAAAGGAAAAAGAATGTGGAATTGAATGATTCTTAAAAATGATACTGACACGTTTGTCAATCAATACAGATGAATTTCTAACAAGGCTTTTTATGTATCTATTAAATATTTGATATGTTTAATAATCCTATTAAAAATCGAATACACATATATATATATATATATATGTATATCTGTGACATTATGTAAACTATCTCTTCTATACGTGTTATTTATCGAATATCTAATAAAATTAATGAATAACCTTTTTTAGAAAAATGACAGACGTCATGTTCTCATAACTTATGGAAATTATAGGTAAAGAATATGCTTCATGATAAGAAATAATTATTTGAAATATCAATTATATGCTCCATAATTTTTTTTTTTTCTAATGTCCTTTGTGTTGATAATTATTAAATAATTATATTTTTTAATAGGATTCAGAAACATGAAAAGAATAAAATAAAATATACGCATATAATTTTTTTCCTTTGGCCATATTCGATTTCAATATATAACTTTTATAATTGGCCTTGAGAATGTATAAATCTATACAAATGTCCTTCGTATAGTTATACAATAGTTTACCATTATCTTCCTTTCGATAGATTTAATAATTGCATATAATATGTCCTACGTAAACGATAATTGATGTCTGATCAAGGATTAAAATTCCCATTGAAATTGAATCAAGTTATTATATTTTGTTGAGTTTTCATATAGAAAACTATGAATCTTGAATCTAATCCTACTATGATAACCGTGTACGTATTATTTTTCTACTTATCTTTTATTTTTATATTTTTTTTACTGATAAAAATGGTGCTAGTTAATCACTTAGAAGAAGATACATAAATGATTTATCCCAAGGACAAATCTATATAACTTATGAAATTAATAGAAAATTGTGCATGAAATTGAATTGATTCTCGATAAAAAAAAAATAAAAAAATAAAAAAAATAAAAAAAAAAGAGAGAAAAAGGAAAGAAAAAAAAAGAAAAAGAAATAAAAGGAATGACAACTAAAAAAGTAATATTCATATAAAATATTTATTAAAGAAAAATATATTATAATATACAATATAAGAGATAAGAATATCGAAATCAAGAGAAAAAAAGGTGTAAGTCAATGCGGAAAAGATAAACATAAAATTTATTCGTGACCATAACGTGGTCTACCTGATAACACTTCGAACTAGTATAAATAGTCGAGCGGTACGTTCTTTTCTATGAGTTCAGAAGAAAACTTCGATAGAGTTCTTCAATCTGAATTATTTGAATCACAATGAAAATCAGCGGGTTCGTTTATCTCATCCTTATTACCACGATAATTAATTTATCGTTCAGTGAGGCAAATAATTATTGTAAAATTAAGTGTCGATCAGGTATCCATACTCTCTGCAAATTTGGAATTGTAAGATCATTATAACTTTCTAATTATTAATTTATTTCTCATTAAAACAATAATCACATCACATTTTATTTTTAAATCTATATCTACGTATTATAATTTATATTAAAATTGTACAATACAATCTTCACGTTGTATACGATTATTTAATCGTAAGAATGAAACGAAGATTTTTTTTTTCTTTTTTAAAATATTTTTTTAAGCACGTACGTACTTACGTGACTAAATATTTGTTTCTTTTTTTTTTTTCTCTCTTTTCTCGATAAGAATATTTTTTCAGTCGCGACAATGGAGAGAACAAATCATATGCATCTATATCTAGCCTTCTCGCTTATAGTTTTCTATTAACAAGCGCGATAAGAGTTGTTACTTTGAAAAATTACGTTGCAGATGTAATAAATAATTTTTGAAATAGTTATCACTCGTAATAATGAATATAATCGATTATGAGTATGCGCCTAATTGCAATTGGAAATCTTTTTTTTTGTTCTTTTGTTTCTTTGTTTATTTTTTTTTTTCTTTTTTTTTCTCTCTTTTTTTTTTTTTAACGCCGCGTTAACGAATCATTCAATGATTTCATCTCTAGCGTGTAATTCGATTGTCGTGTGTTACGAATAATAATTGTTAATCGACAATTATTCATAGTCGACAAAACCGAATTGCGGTAAAAACGTAGTGAAAGGCAGTGGTCTAACGAAAGCAGAGAAATTAGAAATCCTAAAGCAGCACAATGAATTTAGACAAAAGGTTGCACGGGGCTTGGAGACCAGAGGTAAACCTGGACCGCAGCCCCCAGCGAAGAGTATGAACACTTTGGTAATTAAAAAAAGAAAAAGAAAAAAAAGAAAATGTTTTATAAGGTAAAGATCATAGAAAAAAAAATATATATATATATATATTTGATCGCATAGGTATGGAATGATGAATTAGCTCAAATCGCCCAAGTATGGGCTAGTCAATGTAAATATGGTCATGACGATTGTAGGAATACAGGTAGGTTAAATAAAAAAATATAAATATTAATTATCGATCTATTAATATTAATAATTAGGCAATAATATTGTTAAAAATGAAATTTTTAGCAAAATATTCAGTCGGACAAAATATAGCCCAACAGAGTACCACAGCCGCTTCATTCGGATCGGTATCTAATATGGTCCAAATGTGGGCAGATGAAGTGAAAAATTATCAATACGGATCAACAAAGAAGTAAGTCAAAAGAGAGATTTCATTTTATTAATAATATTTTTATTATTATTATTATTATTATTATTATTATTATTATTATTATTATTATTATTATTATAACATGAAATGTAAATGTTTAGCAAACTAATTGAAGTCGGCCATTACACTCAAATGGTTTGGGCTAAAACTAAGGAAATTGGTTGTGGAAGTATAAAATATATTGAAAATGGCTGGCACCGTCATTACCTTGTATGTAATTACGGACCCGCCGGAAATATTGGAAATGAACCAATTTATGAAAAGAAATAAACGAAAATTCAACTTTATTCGTTTTAAGATAAAACGAATTCGCAAACATTTTCTTATGCGAGAAAAACGAATAGTATCGATATAATAATAAACATTTCTTAAGAACATTTCAGCTTTTATAAGCCTTCTAATTGTATCTATTTAATCTATGTATCTGATTTATCAAAATAATAACGAAGCAATGATCATCAATTAAAAACATCTCTTTTTATTTTAATTCTTATCATCGAACATATTTTAAAATAGCCGTACTTCGATTAATTTGAGTAATTTACAAGGAATGAAAACAATTTTATGAATGATTCCGATCAATCATTTCTATTGTCATATTTTGTAATTTGAATCAATGATTTTGTTGCGATTTAATGGATGAAATAAAACTAACGTAATACCGTACATTCGTATCCTGGGAAAGGCAAGCAATTAAGTAACTAAAATAATTATCTGCCGTAGCGAGGAAAAACAAAAAAGAGGAGAAAAAAAAAAAGAAAAATTATCGTAGAAAAAATAAAAGAAAAAGAAAGAGAAAAATCGATTCGATCGTTACGCAATATTTATATTCAATGTTACGAGTCCTTTAATCATATACAAAGAAGAATGATATTTGGTTCTTCTTTATCGTAAAAGAAAATATAAAAGAAGAAGTACATCGTTGTATCGAATTTCGTCGCCTTTTAACGTTTTAACGACCGGTCCATTTCCGTCCGTCAGTCTAAATATTAGGAATTCAGATCTAACGATGAAACGACGTAAAAAGAAGTTGTTCGATCAAAGGAGGACGTGATGCAGTTCCAGTAAACCTGGATGCAACAGTGACCTAAATCCTCCACCTCACCAGGAATCACAACGGGTGGTCCTGTATATCATGAAATGTTTCCCTGCGTCATTATTGTGTTGCCTATTCCGACATATTATTCGATAGGACGTTACCACTGTCCTTTTCTAACAAAGTTTAAAAATCGTTTAGCATTCTAATAGGCAGAAGAAGGAAAACTTTTTCTTCTTCTTCTTTTTCCTCCTCTTCCTTCTTCAATCCATGGGATTGAACTCTTCGCGAAAGAATATATCTCTGTTCTTCTTCCTCTTCTTTTTCTTCCTCTTTCTCCTTCTTTTTCTATTTCATCGTCGTTTTTCAAAGCAAATGTGACACATCTAACGCCCTGGAGTGCACACCAGGATATTTCTCGTATATACTTTATATAGAAAGAATGAGAGATAGGTGGAGAGGCAGGGAGAAGAGGTGTTGATACAGAAAGAGAGAGAGAGAGAGAGAGAGAGAGGATCATACGTCAGGAAGTCAACGCACCGCGGGTGTTGCACACACCTGAAGGGATGAGATATATTTTCGCAAAATATATCCAAGGAAGTAGGTCCCATCGCTTCGACACGATTTAGACAACTATTTAAGAATATAAACGATTTCTTTCAATCAGACCTCACTTTTGTTCAGATTTACCTGGAATAATATTATGACTTTTCGTGGCATTTAATATTAATAATTTTTTTTCATTCATTTTTTAATTATTAATTACTAATTATCTTTAATAAAATTACAGACACATATATATATATATATAATATAAATAACTAGAACGTTTGAATTGAATTATAAAATAATATATATATATATATATATATATATATATATATATATATCATGTCAAATTAGGAAACTAACGCCTTCGAAATCCTCTTATTATGATATTGTAAACTTCTCAAGCTAAGTAGTACATCGTCTTAATCTCTTAAGATTAAGGTAGATCTATGTAATCCTTGGTGTATTTAAGCTATCATTTAGCTTCGGTGGATAAGCTTAAACCTTAACCCTCGTGTAATATTGTCGATTGTATAGGCAGAATAGAGAAGAACAGATGGATCAGTATAGAGTAGAAAAGGATAGGGAATGAATGAAAGCAAGATAGACGGAGACAGAGACAGAAAGAGAGAATGAGAGGGAGAGATAAAGAGGCTGCAACCGACAAAGAGAGATAGAGTGAGAAAAGGGAAAGGTTTTCACCCTAAAGCAACGACCGGGAGCGGCAGAGAAAGAGAGAAAGAGAGAGAGAGAGAGAGAGAGTAAAACGAAGAAAGAAAGTTAGGAGGGCTCGCTGTCATATTTCTACAGAACGGTAGGGGGGTGTCAACGAGCTTGAACGAATATCTCAGCAGGGATGCTATCTCTTCGGTCCTCCTCGCTCTTGGCTGGCTACCGTGCTTGTAAATCTCCAAGTGTGTGAGAATCTAACGCATTTAGTTCTAACACGATCACGCGACTTCTTGGTTTTTTTTTCCCTCCCTTAATTTTTCCTCGCACACGCCATACAACACCGCCAACAACAATAATTGAAACATCCGTTCCATTTCTCCAATTCGCGACGTATTTACTTATTTATTTATTTATTTATTTATTTATTTTCCGCGATAGAACAGCTTTTTGTGCTATCTCAAAAGGAAATATTAAATTTGATCGCAATTTTGTTGAAAAGAAAAAAAAGGAAAAAGAAAAAAAAAAGTTGAGGAACTTATATTACATATGTACTATATATTTTATGATTTGAGTTAATGAAGTTTAATATAAAAAATATAAAAAAAAAAAAAAAAAAAAAAAAAAAAATAAAAAAAATGAATTATACTTTTCATTAATGATTTTCTGCGAATTCCTTTATAAATCGAAAATAAATAATATCTTTTATCTATCAAATTTATCTATCAAAAAAGGGATTCAATTTTGACTCCAACGGAGAAATTAATTGCTCCTTCGATCTTTTTATCCCTTTCTCGTCGTAGACATCGCCCTTCGTATTTTTCCATCCCTTACTCCTATCCATAACACTCATATAACCGACCACACGAGTCACCCTATAAAAACGTATTGTAATGAAGAAAAAAACGGAAAAGAAAGGGATGGTTATATAGGCTTGCTTGTGGTAAGGCGATCGTTCAGAAGTGCAAAAGGGCACACAACCACCATCCCTACTGGCTTCTCCTCCCCCTTTCATATATAGCGTCACCCTCGATAGTAACTTCAACGAAATAGAGAGGGGTTGCGCTTCAACCACTTCAACCGAGTTGCTTTATTTAGGACGCCATACTTGATTCGATCCAAAGAAAAATGGTTGACAAAATTGGCCAACATTTCTTATCTACTTTTTATTTATTTATTTATTTATTTATTTATTTATTTTTGCATTATATCTATTTATCTCTACAATCGATTTTATTTATTTACATATTTTCTTTTGGTTTTTTTCATATTTATCTTTTTATATATATTTATATTTATTTTTTTTTTGTTTCCTTTTTTATTTTGTGCAAGGGAAAAACAAGAAGGACAAAAGAAAATTTTCTTTATAATAAAACATAACAATTTATTATTTATTATTAACAATAATCAATTAACAGTCTTAATATATTTCTCTCTTAATATCTTAATCCCTTTTAAAAAATAAAATTATAAGATATTAACATCGAGACTATTATTCTTGTTTGATATATAAAATATATTATAGCAAGATACATTTCTAATGGATCAACAAGTTTCATATAATACATTATAACGTAAATAGAAAAATTCAAAAAAAAAAAAAAATAAATAAATTGCTTACACGTCGTGTTATTATATTATATACAGATATATATATCGCATATATTTATTATTGGATATTTACAAGAAGGTCTTGGAAGAAATATTATTTATTTGTGATTTGGTTTTAAAACTTGACATTAGTATCAAAACGTTAGTAACAAATGTAAAATGTATATAAAATATATCTATATATATATTAAATATAAATATATATATATACATATATATATGTATATATTAAATATATATTAAATATATTTAAATATAAAATATATCTATATACAGGCTATATATTATACGAAATGTGATCAAAAAGTTCGTGTAATTTTTTAAGCCATTGAACTAAAGAATTTGGACTTACCACTTGTAAAAATTTCTATAACATTATAACAGTTAATCTTGATTAGATCTTCGAATTCAATTAATTTTATATGATCTCAAATTTGATTTTATTGATTTAATTTGATTTGATCCTTTTTCTTTTTCTTTTTCTTTCTTCTTTCTTTTTTTTATATATCGAATATTTCTGTCATAAGAAATTAAAAAATTTCACAAACGTTTTGATTAAAATCTCGTCTCAAAATCTGATCTAAAATATATATTTAGAGATTGTAGGCACAGACGGAAAAATGAATTCGACTGATCGATATTGGGCACGTATTTATGTATGTAGCCTAATTCACTGCATTTTGTATGCAAGGTCTATAATAAATAAATAAATATATATATATATATATATATATATATATATATATATACATACATATATATACATATGCTTTTTATGAAAATAAATTATTATTAAAAATTGTTATGTGGAAGACTAGACGATTAGTACGAAGAGTAAACATTTTTTTGTATGATAATTAATAATAATCATACAACAAAATGTTTATACTATTACCGTGGATATTGGAGTCAACGTGACTCTTAAGAACACTCCTTGTATGCTTTTTTTTTTTTTTTTTTTTTTTTAGATGACCTTCCCTTCAGAATTATTCTAAAGGGAAGATCATCTAAAGAAAATGATGACGTAATGTATTTATCCTGTATGAATACGTTTTTACGTACCAGAGGGTTCAATTTCTCATTTCGAGTAAAATTTGTGCCAGATCCCTCAGAATTACAGTTGATATAATCTTCCGACTATAAACAAAAAACATATCACGTAATTTTATTTCATTCATTTTAAAGAGATTATAAAATACTAAGTTATATCATTAAATATTAATGTAATTGATATTAAAAAGGATGAAAAACTAATGCAAATGAAAAATCTCGAATGAAAAGTTAAATGGTTGGTTGGTCATCATCGACTAATCGATGTCTAATCTTAATACAATATATAGATACTATTTATGTTACTATCATTAAAACGATCGTATTGTACACACGCTAGTAATAATAATATTACCTATATCTATTCTTGTGATGTGTCCTTGAGGATTATCACTTAATGTCACATCGCAATACTCGTAAGAAAATTTCTTTGATCGAAGTTTCATTCATTTACTTACTTGCTTGCTTGTTGGGTTATAAGATCTTTCAAATCGATCAGAGTTTTTTTCATTTTCGATAGAGATACGATGGAAAAGCTATACCAGATGAAAAAATATCCAAAGAGGATGCAGATACGTGATATGGATCACGATTTTCGTGCGTCCTCGTATGTTTTTTTAAATGATCTTTCCTCCCAAAACGTTTTGCACAAAGCATACATATATGAGGCCTTAATCCTGTATGGATTCTTTTATGTCGAGTCAACTCTTCGTTTCGTGTAAAATCTTTATTACACCCTTCGGAATCACATTTATATGGTCTTTCGCCTGTAACAAAAAGATATCATAATTTAATTTTTAACGTGTTATAAATGATTAGTTATCATAAAAAAAAAAAAAAAAAAAAAAAAAACAAAGAAAAAAGAAATAACAAGATAATAACAGTAACAAAACTGATGAGAAACTTTGTACAAGAATTTAACGATAAAACGATTGTATCGTATACGGCCTATCCTAATAACGATTTTACCTGTATGTATTCTAATGTGTCCTTTGAGCTGACCATTATTACTGAAGGCCACATCGCAATATTCGCAGCGAAATTTCTTCGGTCGAAATTTTTTTATTTGTTTAGCCGCAACATCTTGTAAATTGACCAACTCGGCGGCTTTTTCAATGGACGTGGTATAACTTGTTGGTGTATCATAATGATGAATTCCCGGTGGTATGGCGGTACAGCATGGATCGGTAAATCCATTAAGGTTAAGGAAGCTCGATGATGGCCAGCATGTACCATTCATGTTCTGTATCGTAAACATTTCCGATGGCTGATATAAGTTCATGTTACGTAGATAATCCAATTGACAATATGACAAGAAATTTGCAGTGCTTTTAGGTGGAAAATTTATCATGCCGATAGAAGTAACATTTGTAAATTGATCCGCATTAGGACGTGCGTTATCCCTGGACAAGAATTCATTTGAATTTCTCGGTGCACGATCCAAACTTCGTTCTTCAACGACATTTTCTACATTTGAGGATAACGACTCGTTACTCCTTCTTTCGTCATTACCCTCATACGGCGATTCTGCATTATTATCTTCTATCGATAGCGATATAATGCTATCGCAGTCCTCTTCCTCTGCATTGTTTTCCGCTATGTTCTTCGTATTCTCGTTCATCCAAGGACGAAAAAAATTCTCAGCCATCTTGGTTTAAATGTTAAGAAATATCACGGTAATATATATATATATATGTGTGTGTGTGTGTGTGTTTTTAACGATTACAAATTATTACAAGATCTTGATCCCTGATTTTTTTCTTCTTTGTTTTCTTTTTTTTCCACGATTTTTCTTCTATATCCCTTTAATGAAACGACGATAAAAAAATAACTGACACTTAATCTGACTGATCTATGATATTTCTTTATCGATTTAAATATATTCTTTCTTAAATAAAATGTTCACAACGAATATTCGTACTTAACTGTTTCATTCGTTCTCAGGAGAAAGATTATATACCGTCAAAAGTTCCCACCCTCTTGCTTGGGATTGGGTCGTACCCTTGGATGGACCGCACCAGAGAAGGGTGGAAGAAAGAGAGATGATTGGCAGATAGAGAGAGAGAGAGAGAGAGAGAGAGAGAGAGAGAGAGAGAGAGAGAGACACTTTGAAGAAGAACCGAGTGGTGGGCTTTTGGAGGGCCTGCCGAAGGCTCGGTTTACGACGCTCGATCCTTTTGTCGTGAATTAGTCAACTGTATGGGAGAGCTATGGGGAGAAGGGAAAAGGGACGAAAAAGAAGGGAGGATGGAAAAAACCGAGGGGGGTACGATCGAGGCGTTGCAATCCCCAGACATGCCCACTACTGGTTCTCCAGAATGTGCCCCTTTTATGTAAAATAGTACGTTTTACATATTATCAGATGAGATTTACTTAGCTTCGAACATAATTTCTTTCGGAAGATAAAAAAAAAAAAAGAAACTACAATAGGAAACAAAACAAAAAAATTTATGAAAGATTTTCATAAATACAAATGCCCATTGATTCAAGCGACGTAGATTTCTTTCCCCTCTCCCCTCCCCCCTCCCCCCCGGTTGAATTTATATGCGTTCCCTGAAACGCGATAAATACGAAAAACTGTGTTATATAAATGCTTTGGTCTTGAGCCAATTAAAAAGAATATATTTGTTGCTGCAAATGTCGTAATATAGTGTATCACAATAAATTAATTTTGTTTCTAGAAAAAATTTTATAATACTCTTCGTGTAATAAATATTTATATTGATTTTTCTCCGTAGTCTTTTCTTTGTTTTTCTTTTTCTTTTTTTTTTTTCTTTTTTTCTTTTTTTCTTTGATCTTTTGTTTTGTTTTATTTTTTTCTTTCGTATCTGCAAATTCATCGTGTATCCTTGTAAGATAATAAAAAAAAAAAAGAAAAAACGAAAAGGAAAAGGAAAGAAATGAAACCGCGTGGAACGAACAATCCTTCAGGTAAAAAAATGGACGAGTATAATAAATGTTGTTATCTTTATAATGGAAGAAATGGCATTTAAATAACATTGACATAAAAAATGTTGAGTAAAAGTTAAAATTGTTAAAGTTGTTAAAATTTTTAACTTGCCATTCCAAATATCACGATAATGAATAGTAAGAAAAACAATCGTTTACAGAGGTCATACGCATCAAGGAGACTTGCAAGATACCACTTTGGACAACAATGAAAGGGACACTGCCGTTTCTCTTGTGTTGTATTATCGCATCGTGTATGGAATATATTGTAGAGAAGTTGCGAGGGTGGAGCCCTGGAAAGCGGTTCGTTCGTTGATTTATTGTAATACTCCAAGCGAAACTACCCTCCAAAAGCGACATTTGCCCCTCTCTCTCTCTCTCTCTCTTTCTCTCTTTCTTTCTCGTCAACCAAGAGAAGAACACCCTTCTGTCAAACGACCTACGAAACCATACAAAAACCGACTTCGCTACCATTCGATATAGCCTAGTGCCCTTTGTGACATTCGTCACGACGTTCTTTTTCGATTTTCTACACCGTCCGGATCACGTCGTATGGTATTTAACGATACAACAAGATTTCCCTGCATGCGTGAAAAATCAAACCTGTTAAAGAGCTTCGTAATACTAAATAAGATCTTCTTTTTATTCATCTTCTACTTCTTCTTCTTCTTCTTCTACTTTTTTTTTCTACCTCTTCTTGTCTTCTTCAACTTGGTAGGTCCATCTTTGATTAAACCCAAGCGAACGTACAAGCTTTTAAATTTAATCAAATTTTAATATAAATATGATAATGTATCTCATTGATTAAATTATAACAAACGTTATCCTATAAACAATAAATAATAAATAATTATTTCATATGTCCAATATAAAAATTATATATCCAATATGTAACTTGTTCTCTCGTTCGTCTCTTATGAAATTTGCATAGCTTGTGTCGATGTACTCGGCAACCCCTTACTTGTCAAAATCATACAGGGATGAATTTACAAAGAGAGGGACCAATCTCAAAAGGATTTAACGTTCGGTCCGAATTTAAATTATAATTTATATTATAATTACACTTATAGCTTTGCTCGAAATTATAGATTCTTTATTAGAAAACTTTCTATTTTGTGATATGAGCTAACTTTTATATTTTTATGGAGTAAAAAAAAAAAAGAGAAAAAAAAACACACACACACAAAAAAAATTTCAACAATACGGATATACGAGTTTACCGGATAATCTTTAATTATTTTATATCATTTTATATTAATTAATTTAGATATTTTAAAATCGGTTATTTTAGAATTTTTCAAATATTTCCGAAATATCGTAGTATTGATACTGATAATATTCACAAAAGAATCAGCATCGGTTCACTTTTGAATATTTCGTAGTAATAACATTACAATTGAATTGAATATTTCTTAAAAGTAGCATCACAATTTACCGTGAAACTTTATTTCCTTTATTTTTGAAATTCTCACATTACGGAAATGTGAAAAGAAATATAGCGACCGAATCAAATTCACTTATCCGATGGTCAAACAACTATATTATAGAAACGCCCATTTGTACGAGAAAAATCCGATTTCCTTTTAAGAAAAGAAAAGAATTAAAAATTTTTAAGTTCACTAACGATAACAACAAACTTTCTACTTTTCCTTTTAACTTACGAATTTAGAACGCTGAATATGATGGATCGAGGTCGACTGAAAAATCTTCCTGACGTGTTCCTTTTGGAAATCCCACCGATCCGTCTTACTCTAACTCTTCGAAAGTCACAACAACGAATTGCACCTTCTGATATTAGTTGTTCCTACATCGAAAAAGAGAGAGAAAGAGAGAGAGAGAGAGAGAGAGAGAGAGAGAATGATTTGTATAGATCAGGATATTGCGGTTTTTGGATGCAGCTAAACAAACACGAGTTACGCATATTTATAGTTTACAAGTTATTTTAAAAGAGAAACCGCACATCCATCATTTGAAACTTTTCTAATAATGCTTTCATTTTGAAATCCAACATGTCTTTTTTGACTAATACATTCGAAAACAAGTATGGATCAGGAATAAATCTGATCAATGGATCATAGAAAATCTTTATTTTACATTATAATTAACATTTATAATTAACATTAAAATAAACAATTGTTCAAGATTGTCCCTTTTTTTTATCTCTTTTCCATTTTGTCTCTTTTTTCTTTTTTTTTTTTTTTTTTTGACATGTTCACAAGCAAAAGTAAATTGACCGATCGCAAAAAAAAAAAAAAAGGAATCTTTCAGTAAAAATCTCGTCGAATCTGTCAATATCGAATGACTGATCGATCAGCGTGAACGAAAAATCCTGAATATAGATAATTTTCGTCTAAGCGAGAACGAACTTTTTTCTTTTTCTTTTCTTTTTTTTTTTTTTTTTTTTATTATAACTACATCAAATTCCGTGTTTTTGGAAAATGATAGGACAAAATGGGTAGGTTATAGCAAAAGATTCAAAATTGAATTGGAGCGATTGATGTTTGCAAAAAAAAAAAGAAGAAGAGAAAGCAAAAAAAAAATATCTATCTTGAGCATGTACGTAATACTATCGTTGATCGATCATTTCTATCGGCTCACGCGTGCCTCCCATGATTTTGAGCAGTAGTTGTTTTTTTCTTTTTTTTCTCTTTTTTCTAACACTTCTGTTCATTTAAAAAGTTATGAAAGAAGAAACGCGACACGTGCTATTATTACATATATATATATATATACACCTAGGTTTTTAGTAAAAACAAAATATATATATTTTTCTTTTTCCTCTTACGAATTATAATTATTTCTTTGCGAATACAAGATCGGCCAAAAGTTTTTAGATAATGTTAAAAATCAATTACTCTTCTTCGAAACTTTTTAAATTAATTTTTCTTTTTCAGATTGTTAGAAAACTATAGCCCTAAGAACTTCTTTATGATCTGAACAAAAAATAAAAGTTTCAAAAAATAATAACAATTAATTATTTATAATCATCTAGGAACTATTGATGTATTATTGGATTGGCCATTTTCTTTTTTCTGAAAATTAGACCAACTTAATACAATATTATATACAATATAATACAATATTATATACTATAGCAATCCAGGCACAATTCAAGTATATACTTTTAGATTGGCTAATAAATATTATCAGAATGTTCAATAAGAAATATCGTACAGTATTATTTATTTAAATGAATAAAAAATAATACAAATTCCAACATTATCTATTGGCCAATTTAATATTATATATCTAATCTGTATTAATAGGAATATCAGGAATACTTGATTAATAGTTAATTATTTTGAATATTTATGTACGAATTAACAATTAATATTTATATTTATATGTAAATTTGTATATCCATTTCTCAGAATTATTTCTTTAGTTTTATAAAGAAAAACGAAAATAAGAAGGAAAAATAAAATTTCCTTGAGGAACTAATATTAATATAAATTAATATTAAGCGATCAGATATTTTGATGTAACGAAAAAGCTTCATAAGCTTAGGATTCATAAACATATAGATATAGTACTTATATTTCGCATGAATTCGAAAGGAAACGGCTGTTTGAGGGAAGATGGTCGAGCCACTCACACTTCTGTCGAGAAGTCGAGGGTTAAAGTCATGGCAAGCCCTATTATAGCCCTCGAACGGGACCAACCCTCCCGGTAAACAGAAAGGCATAGAAAATGTGCACAACCGCAAAGTCGCCGCCCCTTGCATGGCGGCCCTAAATTTGATTATGCCCCTTCCACTCGAGTGAATCCCGTTAGATTCATCGTTGAAACCGGTCGATGATATATTTCATTTTTTTTTTTTTCTTTTTTCTTTTCTCTCCTTTTTTTTCCTTTACCACGCTGACAAGTTATCTTTGTTATGTCGTCGAATGGAACACTCGGATGCTATAACAAAAAGGATAGTATTCAAAGGATTTTTTTTTTTTAATTTATACTAAATCTCGTAAGAAAAAATTTTCTTAAACAAATCGTTTCAATTTTTCTATCGAAATTCGTTTATTATCATGTCATAATTTTTTTCAAAAGTTATAAACAATTAGATATATATATATATATATAAAAAATTGAAAATCTATATAGGTTTAAACGTAGTGATATCTGTAATATTAGCAATGTTAGAATATAAAAGTTTGAAAGTGAATGAGAATACCTAGTAGCTCAAATTCGAGAAAGATCACTGAACGAAAAATCACTCTGCGGTTTTATCTCGATTCGGCCATTAATCAAAAGATTCACGAACTTCCACATGAGTGAATTTATCCTTGAACGGAGGACACGAATGAAAAAAAAATAGAAAGAGAGAAAAAGAGAGAGAGAGAGAGAGAGAGAGAGAAGAGGAGAAAGAGATAAATACTATAAAATATAAAAGATCGTTCTGCCAGATGGCCCGTGCCATCGGGAACGAACAGAGGCACGTCTCCTCTCTTCTCTTCTCTTCTCTTCTCTCCTCTTCTCTTCTCTTCTCTTCTCTTTTCTTTTTTCCACTTTTCGAATCTCCTCCACTCAGCTACTATTCCCTCCGTGATTCTCCAAAATAATATTACTATAGACGTCCTTTTTACTTTTCTATTCCATGAGAGATCATAGAAAACCTCCGCGGTTTTATTGTAAAGAAACCGCGCTTTTTCTTTTTATTTTCTCTCTTTTTCCTCTCTTTTTTTTTTTTTTTTCTTTATATACCTGAAGCAAACTTTCATCTCGCGATTTGATTAGTCGAAATAAGTGCCTACCCTTCAAGTACACACCTCAAATGGTTATCGTTTTACATGGCAAATTTTGAAAATAAAAAATCTTTTAAAGAAAAATGTTCAGACACAATAATTTTCTATAAATTTTGTTTACTATGTCATTTGTAGCATAAAACATTTCATTGGAAATTTTGGAAAATAAAAATTTGCAAAGAAGCGTTCGTAAAGTTTCGATAATATATATAAGAATTTTCTTATACTGATACCTCTCGAAAACATAATTGCAATTGTGATTCCGAAAACGAATTTCTATAATACATCTATTGAAAGAAAAAGAAAAAAAAAAGAAAAGAAAAGAAAAAAATCTTTCATCCACTAGCAGTCCCGTCATTGTTCTCGCGAATGGCCAACCCTTGGATATATCCGCGAAGAAAAGTGCCGTACAAATTTCACAGTAGGGTGCCACTTTTTCGGCACCTTTGCCAAGTTGACACAATCGTCTTCATCCTGAACATTCTTTAGAAAGAAAATGCAGTGAACGAAATCGGCGAAAAATCATTCGATAGTGTTCGAATTTCTTGCGCGAAATTTCTTATTCGAAAATTGCAAAAATTCTCAACAATCGATTTGACACGGTATAAGAGATTTACTTATAATTGGAAATTTTTTAATTGAAAAGGAAACAAACAAACAAATAAATAAATAATACGAAATTATTTCAAAGAGAAATCTTTCGAAAAAATTTGGATGATAATGATCTAAGTAAGAATGCATTGAAAAATAATCCCGTAGAAAATGTATAATTCTTTTGAAGGATTTTCAAGGACAATCGAATGATTCTATTTACTGTTAGATGTTAACTACTTATTTATAGTGTAAAAATGTTAGAATACCTTAATGTCAGGTAGACCCGTTAAAGAGGATATAGGAAAAAGCATGACAAATTTATAGAAATTTTATTAGTCCTAACTTTGAACGCGACGAAGTCGACTCTATGAAGCCATTAACGAAGCATGAATAAAAATACTTATATAAAGGATGCACGATTAAATTTAAATAATCTTACGTTGGAATTAATTAAATCATTCATCAGAATTGAATTCATTTAACATTAAATAAAGTATAGCTTGAATCCAAATTCTGAAAGATGATTTATTTAATTACAACGTGAAATGATTATAAGAAGAGTGATCGTAGTCCATTAATAATCATCATAAAATATTATAAAACTGACTCAGTCTGATTGAAAGTTACAATGTAATCTAAATTTTTCACAATATTTTTCTTTATATCTAAAAACGTGTAAAATCACGAATATAAAAAGAACCTAATTTAGATAAATCTTATCTTATTGTTATATTTTTCCTATATATATTATATTAATGTATTATGTACTACCTTATACATTTTGTATATATAAGGTATATATAAGGTAATAATCCTATATACATATTTTCTATCCTTACAATAATTCCTGCAGGTATTAACTATATCTGCATAGCTATATATGCATACTTATTTAATAAAAACTATATAATAATAAAAATTTTATATTTATATTGCACTTATACACTTACGAATTTTAAATTATTAGAAAATATAAAATTAGACAAAATAATGACGATTTATATTGTTTTCAAAACAAGAGAAAAACTCAAGAATATTACAATGACCTTGAAATAAACATTACAATAGTAAACGAAATAACTACGTCTCGTTATTTATGTTTCTATATGGATTTTTGTATAAAGAAAAAAAAATTCCTAGAACGCTTCTAACAGATCGTTTTACAATAAAAAATAGAAAAATTTTTAAGTAATAAGAAAATATAAATTTAAAAAAAATAATCATGCATTAAAAATTCTTTAAGGATATAAATTTTTAAGTAATAACGAAATACATAAATTGTGGAATGTAGAAATATGCTGTAAATTCTGTAAGTACATAATGGATATGACATAAGAAAATATAACGACATTATATGTATATTGTTTCTTATAAAAGTCAAGAACATTAGAATGGCAAAGTCAGAAACATTATGAATTAAAAAAAGCAAGATATTTATTATTGTAATTAATTATGTACTTACATAATTACATGTCCATGGAAATTTTTCGAAACGTTTTGTGCGCAATGTTTCAAAGATATCGCCTTTTTCTTTTTTATTTATTTATTTATTTTTTTTTTTCTTCTTTTTTTTTTTCTTAAGATAAATACAGAGTACGACCGATCGATTCGAAATCCCTCTTCTTTTTCAGAAGTAAATTTGACGTTGAGCAAATAAACATATTGAGGAACGGTAAACGTTTGAAGTAGTCCGCCGACAATTGTGTTCGGCTCGTGATCTTTCGTCGGCTTCTTTTTTTCCTCTTTCGCTCTCGTTTCCCCGCCCAGTGACTCTTTGGAACATCCTTTGGGTAAAATCAGTATTATTCTTCAAGTCACAAGTCAAGGAGTAGTGGGGTGATCTCAAAGGTATTCCGCTGTTTGTAAGATTATTGTTCATTCAAGCAGCCGTCCTTTTCGCTGAGAGAGTACTACGTCTTTTTCCATCATTGACATTCGAATATTTCTAAAAAAAAAAAGAATCGCAAATTCTCTTCTTTTTTCTCCTCTACTCTATTCTAGCTCTACTACAAGTTTGAACATTTCATTGAGGCTAAGATACAGATCTTTCCAAGGATCATTTTAATGATCTTTCAGATTACTTCTATATACATCACTCACGTATTCTTGTGAAAAAAGTGCAAACATTTATTATTACAATAACAATATTGTTTTGAATTTATCTCGTCCATTTTATAAACTCCCAAATTTTTCTATTTCATTGAAATATATATATATATTTCATTGGTATATATATATATATATATATATATATATATATATACCAATTCTTATGAATAAATATGATCTAACGTATAATCAAAAGTAATAAAACAGATCATACATATTGTATCTCGATTCAATTGACTTCTTTTTGAAATAAACAAAATTTAATTAAATAGTTTAATTATTTATCAGATGTGCAAATAAAATTTACAGTATCTATCCGTTGAAACCATTACCTACAATTTTATATTTACATAGTATGTACGTATGTGTGTGTATGTGTGTTTTTATATATATATATATATATAATCATCATGTAAATATATGTATGCATACATACATATATATATATATATATATATAATCATATTTGTAAAATCGATTCAACAATTAAAAAACTTTGTACACAATATTTAATGGCTTATATGAACATATGATTAAAATATACCTACAATTGTGATATTACTGTACAGACATCTTTAAAATTGATAAATTCTATCGCACCAGTTTACGGTAGATTTATTTGAATTAGAGTTCCTTTAGCTTTAGTATTTCAGGGAGAAAAAAAAACACAAATAGTCGATATAAATTATGAATCACCATGCGTTTTCAAATGTATTTTCAAAGTAGTTCTATTGATAAATGCTTTAGGGCATATGGGACATGGATGTGCACGCGATAGATGGTGCTTCAAGTGTTCATTTAGTTGCGCACTAGTTTTAAACATTTTCTTGCAAATATTACACTTATGTTCTCCGCATTCTCCAAATGGGTTCTCGTATGTTGATCGACTTCAGCAACGTTATCAAATTCTTTCGAACATACTCTACAACTGAACGTCACTGCTCGCAAAATACCTATTTGACCGCCAGTTAATGGTGTTGGTACAGATATTATATTACTTGGCTCAGCTATGTTGCAACGTATTCCTTCTTTTTGTGTATGACAATTAACATGATTTCTATAAAATAATAAATTAATACAATTAATATTGAATAAAATAGGATATCACATTCTGTTAAAAATATTTAAAATCAAAGTCCATGAATCTTTACCTATATGCATGCTCGTTTCTAAAAGTAATATTACATGTTGGACATAAATATTCTTGTTGAGGTACTTGAACCGTTACAGGCGATACTTTTGCTCTGCCAATACCTTCGAGTTTTATCGAAGGATGCATAAGAACGTAGTGATTCCTTATTTCGTCTTTGGTATCAAATATTTCAAAACATCTGTGACATTTGTAAGGAAATAAAGGATCAGTGCTTACATGTGACTTAGCATGTTTATCAAATGACATTCGCGAACTGCATTCGGTCAGGCACATATCACAAACAAAATGTTTTTTAACATGAAGGTACAGTGATTGCGGCGATGCAAAAGACTTCTGACATACGGAACAAACATTGGTTTTCTCTATTTGCGCGTTACATTTCTTCATAACATAATATTTGTTACATTCCTCGCATTGGAATGCCGGTTTCGTTCCATACATGGCCTTTTTTAATTTGCATCCTCCTTTGATACATGGTGGTTTTTTTACTTTACTAATTTTTACCATTTTTTCGGCGGGAGGTTCATCGTTCATTTCTGGTTCATCCTTGAATATTAGCATCTCATTATTCGAAATAGCAAAATCTTCTACTTCCTGATTAGATAATATTACTGGCTCCTTAGTGTCTGAATCTGGCTCTGCGTGTATCTTTTCTATCTGTATTGTTAAACGATATATATTTTTTCCAATATCCATTTCTTTATATGGCGTGGATGTAGTTGGACCAGTACCATTTACTGGTTCCTTGAATGCATTAATAGTTTTATTTTCTAAACTCGATTCTTCAATCTGTTATAATCCATAGAAAAATTTAAATGAAAAAAATTTTGGAGATATCAAATATTTAAAATAAAATTGCCAATTAAACTCTACTTACATTTTCTCCTAATTGTGTAAATGGGCTTTGTGGAGGTGTTACCAAGCTATGAGAATCATCATCTAAATTTTTTTGCTTCGATGGTAAGATCTTTGAAGATTCCACTTGTTCATTATTTTCAGCTTTTCGTTTTCTTTGCAAATCTTGAAGATAATCGATTTGTGAAGATGGATTTGATTATTAATGACCTAAGTGAAAAAATAAAATAATTACCTTCACCATTGCGAAAAATAGTTGGTATTGCATTTGTTTTCAATTCATTGGATGCGGTAAAATAATTTTTTTCAAAATGTAATTCACAAACATATAAAGAATCATTTCCATCGCAGGAATTAAGAACTAATCTACAGTTTTTGATCCATTGCTGACGTCTCCTAGAAACATTAAAATAAATAAATTCTAACAATTAAAAAATATATTATAAATATATTTTATATATAAGAAGAACATAATAAATATATTAGAATGCAAGATATGCCAATTAAATTATAAAAATATATAATATAATTATTCTATTAAAATGTAAAGATAAAAAATAATGAAGTTACGTACGTGTCATCTTCTGGAAAAGCAAATAATGATATTTCTCGACCGTCGATTTTCGTATTTTGATCTGATAAACAACCACGTACTTTACAAGCGAACGTCATATTATAATAGAGGTTATATTCGTCCCTGGAATTCCAGAAACAAATTATAAAACCAAAACTAAATAAAAATTTTCCATAACCTATAAACTATACTTGTTTAAATACAATACAGTGTCGCAAATAATATGAATATGAAATTTTCACTACAAAAAAAAAAATTAGAAAATCGAATATATTATTTATTAATGGTTTATTGCAATTCACCGTTCGTATGAAAAATATAAATTAACCAATCATTAAATGCTGACTCTCGTTTTAATCTGCAATTACTATTGGATAATCAATTGATTCAGTTCATTAGAATATCAATTCTTTCTTCCAATAGAAACGAAAGAAAGATATACAACTTCCCCCTATTCGACGTATACGTTTTGCTGATTGGTTGTAAACCTGTTACATTAAAGATGTCGCTCAAAGTCAACACTTCGATTGGTTAAAAACGAATAGTTATAATATATTGAAGTTCTTGAAATACTTCAAATAGCATTATTTACATCGTAAATAGATGTGTTTTAAGATATTCTGTGTTAAGAATTTTATTAAACTTTATTGCGTATAAAAGAAAAATTAATGCATTAAAAAAAAGAATACAGTGTTTGCGTGTAATAGTGTCCATATTTAAAAAAAAATTATAATTTTTAAAAGATCATGTTGCAAGCTGTCTTAAAAAATAAAAAAGATGTACTCATGAATTTTTGTGCACCTTGTTTACAACCAACTGTTACATGTGATACTATTAGTACAGAAGGATATGATGTGACTAATCTTATACAAGATCCTTGTAATGGTTTCTTAGCTTATTCTTGTATAAAACCACCAGTACAAATTGACTTTACGTTCCTTTGCAATATACAGATTCATCATATTTGTATTTGGCCATCCGTTGGTTCACAGAAATCTTCTGGTTTTCAAATTTATGCAAAGACAGTTAATAATAATGCCATGTCATATACTTTATTATCAAGTGGATGTTTAAGTGAAAACAATACTGGAGTATTATTTTATGCAGCAAATGTAAATCCAGCTAATATTGCAATAGCGCCAAACTTTTTGCAACGTTATATTAAAGGATCAGCTCGCAATATAATATCTCAAACTAAAAGCTTACGAATATGTATATTTAAAACACAAAATTCAGTACCAGCGCTAGGTAAAATTGAAGTATGGGGATCGGTGTCATCAAAATCTAGCAAAGATATTATAGCAAGTATAGATGCTTTATGGTCAGCTTCTCAAACATCTGTGCCTTGTTTGCCCGCAATAAATCATCAATCTAATATTTCCACTATTAATGTCAAGAATGCTGATGTAGAGAACAATACGTATGTATATCAATTTGTAAAATTAAAATTTTTTTTTTTTATATATGGTAAAAATTATTAAATTGTTTCATATTTGTAATAGAAACAATGCAAAAATTGCACTGGAAATACCAGATAGTTTTTTAGATGCAATTACGTGTGAAATCATGACTCAACCCATTCTGTTGCCCAGTGGTAAAACTATCGATCAAACGACATTAGAGAAACATGAAGAAAGTGAAGCTTTGTGGGGTAGATCTATATCGGATCCATTTACTGGACTTCCGTTTAATGAAAATCGTAAACCTATAATGGCAACTACATTAAAAATAAGAATAGATAAATTTCTTCTTGAAAATTCAACTAAAGATGAAATTAAAAGATTACCGCGAGTACTGGGTAATAAATCAATAAATCATAACAACCCATATCAACATCTCATAGCATGTCAAAATAATAGAAATTCAAAAGAATCTACATCACTGATCAAGGATTCAACCAAAAAAAATACTAACGATTCACAAGTGAAAATTCCCTTGGTATTAAATAATACAGTTCAAAGAAAAAGTCAACGTCATAAATTACCTATGACTCCAATTCATTTGAAGACTGTTCCTTATGTCAAAAAATTAAAGACATCCAACTTGGATTCTTCCATAAACTGTGATAATGATATAGAAAAAAGTAATGATAAACAAATTCATCAGCATAATGTAGATAGTGATATTGATGCTGATATTCAAGTTGCATTGTCATCTCTTAAACGTTTTAGTACACCAAAAAATCTTAAACTTTATATTTCAACTGTAAATAATTGTAATTGTTGTACAAATAGTATACTTTATAAATTACCATGTAATCATGTAGTATGTAGAAGAATACTAACAACAGCTGAAAAGAATCAATGTCAATTATGTGGTTTAATTTATACAAGAAATGCTGTAGAACGTATACATGATTAAGCAAAAGTAAGTAAAGCATAGTAAAATTAAAGCAGTTTATATAACTTATTATTTTGTTCTAAATGAAACTAATGCAGTTTCTTATGTTCCTTAATTAAATAAACATATAAATACAATTTAACAATTTATATAAGTATTAATTATTAAAAACATTAAAAAATATTATATGATGCTTACAATCAGAAAAATTTATTAGTAGATCTATTTAATGAATTTTTATTAATTTTGGAATTAAACCTGATCACTGTACATTTTATAAAATATACAAAATGTATAATAAATATTTTAATAAATTATGTGATATAATATTGTTCGGTTACCACATAATTTTATACATTTATGTTCTTTAGCATACATATATATTTGTATATATTCATAAATATATCCATCACAATATTTTGTTTAAACAAATAAGTAATAAAAAAAAAAAGAAAAGGAATTGTGCATTTATATTTTATACAAAAGATTTTTCTACGAATTATATTTTATATATTGCAAAATATATTGTACGAATCGTTTTATAATAGTTCAGAGATATCTGTTGTATTAATATATAAATTTTTCTATTTTTATAATAAAAAAACGTTCGATATTAAACTTTTACGATTGACAATATTTTTTTGAAATTACTTTTATCAATTTTCGATAATTTATAACACAGTAAATCCACTACCTTGACTTTGTCGTTTAGCAATATTAAAAAGTGATACTAAATAATTACGTGTTTCGGGGCTGACATAAAAAGTAAGTATATGATCAGAGTTTGTTGTTGGTGTTTCTAAAATGTCAGATTGTCCATCACTATTTGTAGATAAACTAGCTAAACCAGTGCTGCTTGTACGTACGTATTCTGCAACCCTTGCTCTCATTTCTTGATCCATCTGAAAAGAATATTTCCATTTATATCTATTTACAGGAACAATTACAAATTATTCATAGATTATCATTATACCTCATGTTCAGTGGGCGATAAAGTTCTATTAATTTGTGGTATTGTCGGTGGACAATATAAACAAAGCATTGTTGATTCTGAAGAATGATCAATACTAGTTAATTCTTTTAAAGGCAATATCTTTTCCACGCTATCTTCAGCTATATTAACAAGTAATAATGCTTGCCGCGTGAGAACTAAAGTTACAGCACGATTATTTCCTTGTTGTAAAACATAATCTGCATTCGCTACATGCAGAATATTGTCACGAGTGTTTTCTAACAGGGGTAGTAAACGCCATGCATATCGAATAGATGCATTATTATTACCACTGCTATACTGAACCACTGGATGTTGTCGAGGCTGTAAAAGATTTATTAGATATAAATTAAACATATACATTATAACGTTATACGAAATAATTTACATTCTGCAAAGAATAATTTACCAGAGGTAAAGGATTCCATCCTGCACCCTGTAATAAACCTTGTCCGGTAAGAGCAACTAATTCTGCAGCTCCACTAAGAGGTTTTGTTACTACACCAACTAATCCAAGTCCAACACCTGTAACTAAACTTTTAGTTGTTGCTTCACCTGACCATACCTGTTGTAAAGGATGATGTGCCAATCCAGCAACAGCAGCTGAAAGTATATGATATGAGAATATGCATATATTAAAATTATATTAATAAAATATTATTTAAAAGAAATACATACCAAGAATACTCATACCAAATCCAGTTAATCCTTGATATAGTCCTTGAGCCATACCCTGTGGACGCATTCTTCTGGCTTCTTCTTGACGTTGAAGATGTTCTTCATCTAACGTTAATCTATCTAAATTTCGAGCAACGCTAGATGCTAATTTTGTCACAGAATTAACAGTACCTATAAAAACATATGAATAAATATAATTATTCAATTAAATTAAAATAAAAATATTTGAATGTATAAATATATATATATATATATTATTAATTAAATTATCACCTGCTGTGATATGCTTCATTAAACTAGCAGATCCATGTGTTATGCCAACGATAAAACCCCAAGGTCCTTGCAATAAACCTTGAAATGGAAGAGAAACGAAGTCTCTAAGACCTGAACCAAGTGCTTGTGCTAAGCCTCCTGGAGATCCAAGTATTTCTAAAGATCCAACCACCCAACCTATGACATATGTTTTGTTAAATATCTAAATTTATCAATAATATTTATTAAGTAATTTAAATTTACCTGCACCAAATATAGCACCAGATAAATAATGCATAGTAAGTGCATTCCCTAGCCTATAGGGTGTAGTTAAAATATTTTTCCTTTCAAAAGTGCTAAAATATAACGGTGAATGATCCAATGCCACGTATAAACGTACAGAGGTATGTACACTGAGTAAAATCGATACTGGATCTATTCTAAAATTTTGTAATCTTAATGGTGCACTCAATATTTTAGCATCGATCATAATATAATCTGATACATAAAGAGTTGTTGATATTAATGCTGGTTGAATCTTCTTTAATGTGCTTGTTGGCGCACTAAACCGTGGTGGTACCATAGAATTTGCATAATCTAATAAATGACTTATGTACGTATCTTCGATATAAGCGCTAATAGGTGCAAATTTTAAATGTAAGTCTTTTGACACTAAAAAGAAAATAATAAAGATAATATATTATAATCTTGATTATAACACTTTAAATTATTAATATATTTAGTTAATAATATACACATAAATTGTAACACAATTTTTATTCATACCTATTATATCACCATTTATTTCGCAAACATAATCAGCAGTTATCAAGGAATTTTCTTTAATTTGTTCCATATTACTTATTAAACAGTTAGATGGATAAAACGTCGTTCCTCTAGTTATAAGTGGACTCTGACTGATTAATACCACAGGAAAATCAAAACCTCCTTGATCAAATACTTGATTATCTAATTGTAAATCTCCTATACATATACAAAGGTTCACAAAAGTAGGTTTCGCGTGTAATGTTACGATTAAATCTGTCATGGACAAACTTGCAACTTCAGTTCTTTGACCATTCTTATTAATATCTTTTAATATAATAATAGTAATTCCATGAAAATATATAGTTGCAGAACCTTCCCTGTTGGTTGTTGCATTAGTTTCATTTATTAATTTCAATTGATTATAATTATTATGATTTTTATTATTACTTTCTTGAGGAATTAATTGTTTTAAGTTGATTTGCGATGAAATAGAGGAATCTGTTACAGAAGCATCTTCTTGTGCTGAGAAAAAACTAGTTGCTGATGTTGAATTACTAGAATATTGTATATTAACTAATTCTTTATTATCTTCTGTTGAAGTTTTGAAATTCTTTGAAATTATTTCAATTTCATTCATTTTATGTTCTTTATGCATTAATCGATTTCTAATATCCCTAGCAGATACCTCTATTTGTGAGATAGGAACGACATTAATATGTGTGGTATAGCAACGATTGTGCATTATCAATTTAACGTCCCCATAAGAAGGTAATCGAACGTAATGATCCATAGGAATATTTGTTAATGCAGAGAGACTAATGCCGCGTGACCATTGCAATTCCTTTCGTTGTATTGCTTCATCGTTATTAGGTAATGCAGATAATAACAGTATATTACATGTAGTTGGTACAGAAGTATCAGGTAATCTGTTACCAATGCATGGAAGAGAATAATGACATGCAGCACCAGTTTCCACTTCACAGATCCATGCAAAATGTGGTGTATCTGATACAATTCCATCTGCATTTTCATTGGCTTGTCCCAATAAGAGTTTATAAGGACACATATTCTCTAGCAATAACTGAGGATGATTATCAACTTGAATCATAATATACGATGTACCTTTGTCTTCTTGAATCGTTAATACTACTGACATGGTAGTAGAGCCATTTGGAATAGCAACACACTTACGACTCATGATCTGATCAATTTTAATTGGACAAGACCATTTATGCCCTAAACTCAGAGAAATATATAATACAAGGGATTCGATGTTACTATTTTCATACAACATGTGCCATTGAACAATAGGTGTAGCTTGATGTTGATCTTCAGATGGTCGAATATTTTGACTGTAAGGAGTAAGGTCGTGAGGTAACTTTAAGTCTTTTGATGATTCATCAACTGCAAGCGTAGCGATACATAATTCCTGATTTGTCAAATTACCAATAACGTGACTACTCGTTACTCTCACTAAACGCATATCTTCGTGCATGCTAGAAGTAATACTGACTATAGTCACACTAGATCCACAATCAACAATAGTTTTGATGTTGCCCTCGACGGGAATTAGCCCTCCGATACGAGGCATATAAAAACTTTGACTCCAATCAGGTCTAGCTAATTGAAGAGCTTGTGAAGTATAATACGTATCACCTATACCAACTCCTAAATGGAAAGTGCCTTCTAATTTTGGTGGTGTCACGATTCCATAATGAGGAACTTGACAAAGTTCGGTATCCTCAGATACAAGAGAAATATAACATCCTAAAGAATTTAATATGAAGCACCATGGTTGTAATTCCAACAAAAGAGTACTCGATACTAATCCAGCATCTTGATATTTAACTTGAACATGAGTTTGTGGTTGTTCCGCGGGTATCCATTCTGCTATATCATCCGCTTGAAAAGGCCATCCTGCCTCATCCTTTTGACTTTCTAATTCTTTCAGAATATTATCTATATCTTCTATTTCGGGTCTTCTAAAAAATTTTCTTTGATCCACTGAACTGTATGACAATGGCACATACGGATTAGACGCACAAATTCCAGATTCTAATTGGAATGTTAATTGATGGAAATGCTCAAATGTACCAGGGCAATACAATTGTTGGCGTTCGCCACGTCCGTTTACTATCGTGCTTGATAACATTTTTAACGATGGTGTTTCCATTTGTACTTTTGCTGGTACTGGTAAATGCGATCGTATCATATAAAGTGGACTCAATACAGCAAGTATTTTCATTTTTTCTTGAACGGTTTGTGTTATTATCCGTACCCAAATACTAAAAAATTGACCGCGTTCTTGTAAAGGCACTTTCACGAGCCACGGTTGGCTCAATTTAGCATTGGGTTGAAGAGGTATATCTCCTGTCCATGATAAATTTGGTATATTCGTGAAACGTAAGCGCATTGCCATTTTTTTGTTATTCTCAATGACAATAGTCGATGGTTGACTCTTTCCAAACAACATATACGCATTTTTTGATACAGTCACTTTAGCACTAGTT